AGAAAATTGAAAAAAAATTTGAGTTAGTTTATATTTGTATATATATAGACATTCTTCTATCATATAATTTTTCATTATAATATCTCTGATGCAAGTTGATGATTAGATGTTTTGAAACTTCCAATGCAATTCTAATTTCCATTCATTATGTTTCTTTTTAACTTTTTTCTCATTGTTTGCACCTATTATCAATCATGTGTCAAATATTTGTCATGAAAAGCAATATAGTGAAAAACTACAATTTGATGCAATAATTAATATTCAAATTGAATTGCCTTCACACAATGACCTGTTGGTAGCTTACCTATTAGCAATAAAGACTCATTTCATTTTATATCTAAATTTGGAGTGATATATGTTTCTAAAATACATTCTAAATTTTGGTTCAAAAAATCATTATTATATATGAATTTTCTAACTATATTCATGACATATGCAAGTATAATATTGTGTTTTGAAATATATCTATGTAACTTGGATGTAAGTACGTAAATGTTTTTGTTACATTCTTAATTACAATAATTAAGGAAAAAAATGTCCATGTTTGAGCAATATTGAGAGTCCAAGTGTGATATATTTTAGATTATTTCAATTTTTACTGCATAGATCATAGAATATAAACTCAAAGATGATGAAAATATTTGTTAATTAGTGATATTACATAAGTTCAATATTTTGCAAACCCAACCAGTAATGGTAGTCAACAACTTTTGTGATGTAATCAATGCAAAACAACGTCTCATATGTTCAATACAGTAATCTAAAGTAACCATTATTTGAAATGTGCAAGATGTTTTTGATATCAAATATATAAAAATTTTTGATGTTTAATATATGACTATAATCAAAATTTAAAAAAAACTATTGCAAATATAATTGTCATATATCTTATCATGATGAAAATTTTTAACACATTGATTTAAATAAATCAAACCAAAATACTTGATGTTTACAAATCATAATGATATAAATGTATTTTTGTGTAAAAATTTCTGAACAAATTTCAAATTCATATATTTTTTTAATATCCGTAAACTGAATGTAGTGTACACACACAATAAATTTAATCTAAATATAAATGTAAAGTTTCAAATAATGATAGATCTGATTTGATTTCATTGAATTGAAGGTTTATAAGTCATAGAATATTCTTAAATCTTTAAAAATTTGCATCAATAACTTCAATTCTGGTTCTTTATACGGTTTTGATGAGTTTTCAAATATTTTTTTGTTAAAATATGAAGTAAAACTCAAATTATTATTTTTTAAATAATAAAAATGTAAGTATTATTTTTTAATAATATTCAAATTATAGAATTGTATCCATCAAAATTTTTCTTCACAAAAAATCCAAAGTTCTGAATTTTCATTTAGACTATTGTATCATGACATATTAAAACTGAAATGAAACAATATTTTGTGATTAAATTATTTTTATTCATCAACAACCAGTTCAAAAATGAAATAAATAAGTAATTATAACAGATCAGATTCAATACAGTAATCAGATTTGTAAACACTCAATGTTTTCTTTTTAGTGTCATGTTGATAAAATAATGTTATTTTTTTATTGTGTCATTACAAAGTCTTACGTTGAAATCATCCATATTATTTATTTTTATTGATCATCTATTTATTATTACTTGATAAATTATGTTAATTTATATAAAATATAACTTTATTGTTTTAAAAAAATTATTTGTTATATCAAAATTAAAAATTTTGTATCAGTAAAACTTTGAGTTATTTGTGACAAATATTATTTTATTAAAAATACGTGATGTGACATTTTGCTTAATAGACATATTAGATTTTTTTTAACAAATCAAATCAAAATTGTAAATGTCTTAAAGGAGAAGTGCGCGGAATGCAGGTTCAGATCTTGGGATGGTTATGAGATGTTAAAGTTTGGTTTTGGTAGTTGCATGATTACATTATGAAGTTAATCAATACAATGATGTTGATTCAAAATCAACAAACAAGTTTTATTAACAAAAGCTTGCCACGAGACCATGCACATTTGGTCTAAGGCTTGCACTCGTTTCTTATGTATAACCTAAGATTATGCTTCATGCCTGTCTTATTTTCAGCAAAGTATTTTAAATTATTTGATTCTAACAAATCAAGATTCAGCGATGTCAAGTCACACTGGCTGGACATCTCATCTGGAATTGATGTAATTTAATGAAGACAAGTAATTGATGTAACCGATTCTCAATTATAGTCTCAATTTTTTCCGCGAAAGGCTCCTTATTTTCCCAAAATCAGCACCCACTGTTCCGTTCCTCGTGTGTCATCCAGCGTTATCCATGTGACTTGCAATAATTGACATTCTAAATTTACGTTACTTCCATAACTTTTTTTGGGGAAGTGGTCATCTTCAAGGGAAAATCAAGCGATGCTTTGTAGTAAACTTGTGACAAATCATGCCGTCAACCATAACCTCTCTTTTCTGTTGATAATCAGTTTTATGAAGGTATTGGTCGATCCATTGAACTTCTCGAGGTATACTTTCTCAACCCCGAAACCGACACCTGACCTGAAGGCTCTAAAATTTACAGATACTGAGATTTTCATAAGATATCTCAACCTCTTTTCCATATCTTCGAAACGCAACAGTTGACTTTGAGGTTGATTCCTACATTGAAGATGTTGGATCTGATTGTAACGAAAGTATCAAACCTGCAGCTTTCCCGCCCCTCTGCGATTCGCCTTCGCTGCTTCCTTTAATTCTCTTCGTCCCAACGTTTGTGTTACTGTCTTCATAGTAAATGGTCATCTGTTGATTGACCGGACAAAGAGACCTGTAACCCGATATCTGCCTTCGTCAAACATCCAGTGCACCACTCCAAAATTGACGCGAGAGAATTAGAGCGCCCGAAGAGGTTTTAATTTTGACCTCAGGATGCTGTGTAGAATTCATCAACCGTGTAGTTCACATCTTCTGGAGAGGACAACACGGAGTCATCTCGACTTGAATGATTGTAAACATCCATATATCACCGCTAAAAATCTCCTGTAGACTAGCAACTCATTTCAGGTGCTGACCAAATATTTTTAAAAGCTGATGATCTCACCCACACACGCAACATACGTGCGAATTACAAGCATACCCTGTTCAATGGGTTACAACCATTCACAAAAGCTAGACGATCGGAGACGGTAATGTGGATGACAAGCCAGAAATTTTAATTAACCAGTTGTGTCAACTCTCCTCGCCTGTATTCGAGATTGAATCTGATCGAAAAGTACAAAGGATGTGCTCCCCAGAGTCGAGGGTTGCATATAAAGTGCGAATGAACATTAATTTACACACTACCGTTGACGGTCTTGCCATACATACTGGTCATGTCGCGAAGAGACGATCGAAGACCAGACGAGCAATGAATGGAGTTTAGTTATAAAAATCATCAGCAGCAGCAGCCGCAAACGCTGGTTCTGCAACAGGAGCACCTGCAGTTTGAGCAGGTCGATCTGGGAACCGGAACTCCGAACCAAATCCTCGTGATTGCTGCAATGTTTGAGCAAACGCTTGATATTTCCGGATATCTGCATCGCTAACACTACGTCGGGCAAACTTCATGGCCTCCTCAAAATGGCTAGCCTTGATTTCGGCTACTTCCTCAACCTCATCCTCTTCCATGGCCTCTGGGTTCTCAGCTCGCTTCTTGTCCTTCTCAATATCCTGCAGCAGTAGTGAAAGCAGTTAAGGTATTGATTATGCGACGTCACAAACATCCCATCCATACATAACCACTGACTGACCAGCGTGTCCCTGTGCCTTGTGTAGAGACAGGAAATGTTAAAACCAATACGAGAGATGTTTAAGTGCAGGTGAGCAATATTCTAACGTTCACTGTTAGGCAGGCCACTGGTTATCTATATCATATATTTTATTATCAGTTATGAACATATTAAATTATTTATTATATTAATATTATTATGGTTAAAATGAAGAAAAAAGTTTACATAATTAGCATAAGATTTTGTTCAAAATTTAAATATATATACATATATGTATCTATTCAGATTTAATATATCTTCATGAATTGGATACAATATGTTTCTTGAGGAGTTTAAGAAGATTTCCAAATTCATTTAAACGTATTTTAGATAAAGAAAACCACAGAGTTGAACTTAATCATTGTGCGTTCAAAAGATTTTCAACAAACTTTGTTGCGCAAAGATCTTGAAGTAGGATATGAATGAATCAAATATAGTTGATGAAATATTTACTTATTTAAAGTAGGAGGAAAATTTCTGAAAATTTTGACTAATATCAATTGCAAATCAAATACGATTGTAAATAAATCAATCGTTTAATTCATGTAATGATTTAATTTTCGTTTGATGGTTTTTTCTCATTTAAAATGGTTGATTAAAAAATTAATTTATCAGATTAGTAAGATCAAACATTTAGTACAATTACTTAGAGCTAAATCTTAAAGCTACTGGCGATTTGATTATCTCAGATGATAAATTAAAGGTTTGACCCGCAATCAAAAGGAAAAATTGGTTGAAGGTAGACGTAGAGGCTACATACAAGTAAATACTTGCAATATATGAACACGATTTACGAAATGGCCACTATAAATGCCTCCAGTTACCAGATGCGAGCGGAACCAGTCAAGGTGGAAATCGATTTTACCATTTCAAAAAAAATTGATAAATCGATTTCCGCTGTTCCAAATTAATATCTGAACATTGCAACGCTGGAAAGCGAATTCTTTCCACCGTTGTGGTGGTGAAATGAGTTGGAAAATTCTATTATGAATATCTGGAATAGTCAAAGCTTCACTGAAATTAGATTTTTAGCGAACTATTTAAAGCAGAAGACGTGAAGATCGGCTTTGGCGTGAAGACCAGCGTCGAATCTACCAATCAGTTGTCGACGAGTCCGACCTCTTTCCCCTCCTCTTCCCTGCCGCATCGTCGAGCAGTACGATGACTTTACACTGTCGAGGTGTTCAAATTGCATCCGATATAAAAGAATGTGACTCTCGTAGCAATCTTCGAAGTGCTGAGATGAGGTCCAGTTCCAGGGAAAAAAAAAATGAACTGGTTTTTGCAATTCCAAAGATTCTCGAGATCCAGCTTCTAACAAAGAGCAAAGTTGGGGGGAGCTTCTGATGCACGAGGCGTCGTCGGACAAATGGCGGCGCAGGTTTCCGAAGAGAGCAATGATCGCACCTCGGCTTCGGCGGATGGAGAAGAGAAATGGACGCACGTGATCCGAATCGACGAGGAGCTGAAGCGGGTCGCGGAGAACATGGCGTGGAAGGTGGGAGCGGGAGCAAGGGTGGCCGAGCCGACGATCATTCGAGCACCTCACGCGTTTCGGCAGCACGCAGAGTTCGGCTACGAGTTCAGTTACGATCCCGCGTGCATGCGCCTGGGGCTGTACAACAGGGGCGCATTGCTTGCGCCCACCGCAGCCGAGACTTGCCGAATGGAGGTTGCCATCGCCTTCTTGAAGAAACTGAACGAGCGCAGAGTCGAGCTCAGACTGAGCCCGATCGACTGGCACGAGATGTGCGCCAGAGTCGTCCCGAGTCCTGCCCGAGTGCGCCAGCTGTGGAGTGACGCCCCGTCCGACATGACGGACGACGACGTGCGCCACTTGCTGGCGATCGACGCCGTGTTCATGCTCTGCTTTTTCCAGTTTTTGGGGGACAAGTTCCCGCAGGTCCAGGCCCTGGATTGGCACGAGACTACTATGTGGATGCAGCAAGGTATCATGCCGGACTTTCTGCTGATGGAGAACCAGATTCCTCTCGTGCTGATACAGAACGCGCTCGCTCTGGCCCTGGAGGGCGAGCACAGAGAGCATGCGGAGCTCGATCGGGCGATAAACTCGAGGTCTGATCTCGTATGTGCAGAAGATTTCCATCCGGAGCTGCTTGAGCTTCTGTCATGGGTATTAAAATGTGCTATGTTCCGGGCTGGGCTGCCGGGGTTCTATGACAAATTCGTGCCGAGATCTCAGATCGTGAGCTCTGACCACTTGTTGGATTTGGTGTACAGAGTGGTGGCTAAAAAATATAGAATACGAGACGTGGTTATTGATGACAATCCTCGGCCTGGTAGTAATAGCACCCGCTCGGTCGGTGCATTGATCAGGTGCGGAGAAAAGTCTGCGTACTTCTTTCAGAAGCTGATGATTTACCTGCGCCACCTGCAATGCGTTCTCCCGACGCGCTTAGTTGCTGCTTTCGGTTCGAGGTCGCTGGATGTTCGAGAAGATCCCTTGCGCATCTATCACTTCATTCCGACAGCCTCGAAGCTGAGAAAGGCTGGCATTGCAGTCAAAGGCTTAAAGGATGCGACGATTTGGGACTACAAAACGGAGCAGGGTCTATTCACGGACACTTTGTGGATCCCGAAGCTCGAAATCTGGGACAGCACTGCGAACTCGCTGAGGAATTTGCTCCTGATGGAAATGAGGCCCCAGTCGCCTCTAAACCGTGGGCAGCCGCTGTTGGAGTATTTGAATCTCCTAAACCAGCTGGTGGACACGAGGGAAGACGTTGAGATTTTGTGTGGCAACACAGACGACTATGTGATCTTCAACGCGGTGGGCGATGCTGGCATTGTGGCAAAAGTGATCAATGATCTTGGCCGAGGCTGTATTCTTAGAGAATACTCTTCTAGATTCGTTGAGTTCTGCAAGGAAGTGCAGCAGTGTTATAAACGGAGGAGGAAGCGATGGTTGTGGCAGTTTGTGGAGACATATTTGAATAAGCCCTGGAAAATAGCTTCACTTCTCGGCGCCATATTGCTGCTCGTGCTAACAGCCCTCCAGACAATATATTCCATGCTCTCCTTCTACGGCATTCAGACGCTGTCGGACTGACTCCATTCCTCAAAGCTGCTGCACTGAAGTCCGTCAGCTGTACATAATCTGCGAATTTCTACCAAACCTCCTTACCCAGGACCTTAAAAATATGCACAAAAATGTTTCATGATATATGTTTATCAACCATATACACTTTTAGTTAAGATTGTTCAACATAATATAATGAATCTTTTAAAAAATGTAGAAGACTCACAATGTTTTTTCATTTCTTTAGAATAAGATTATTATACACTTTGAATTTTACGGAAGACATCAAATTTTTTTTTTGGTTCGATCTAAATTTATGAATTTTTTCTCAATTTTATGTGTGAAATTATGAAAATGATATGAAATGTGAATTTTCAATAATTTTTTTAAAATTCAATAAATATGAATAATTAATTTTATTTCCTGATTTATTTAATTATATTTTTTAAATGAATTATTTATTGTTAAAATTTTTGTTTTTATTTAAATTTATTTTCTCATATGTTTGTTATGCTTGTATTTTGTCAGTAAATTGATAAAAAATAGGGTCAGTTTATATTTGTACATATATATATATATATATATTTAAGAATTCTTCTATCATATATTTTTGCATATTAATATCTCAGATGATGATTAGATGTTCTGAAACTTCTAATGCAATTTTAATTTTCATTCGTTATGTTTCTTTTTAACTTTTTTCTCATAGTTTGCACCTATTATCAATCATGTGTCAAATATTGATCATGAAAAGTAATATAGTGAAATACTACATTTAAATGCAATAATATAGAATTCACCTTAAATTGCCTTCACACAATGACGTGTAGGTAGCTTACATATTAGCAATAAAGACTCAATTCAATTTATATCTTAATTTGGAGTAATATATGTTTCTGAGATACATTTTTAATTTTGGTCCAAAAGATCATTCTCAAGCGAGGCTCTACGCTTTAGCAGATGTTGGCGAGCGCACAGCGAAACGAAAAAAACCGAAAGGGCTAAAGCAATATATCTATTTTTGTCTCCGCTCTTTCGCGCATTTGGTGAAAAAGGTAAACTCACTTCATTGCATTTTCTTACTATAATCATGACATATGCAAGAAATATATCAACTTGTAACTTGTATGTAAGTACGTCAATTTATTTGTTACATTCATAATTACAATAATTAAGGAAAAATATTCACATTAATTTCAATAAATCCAACCAAAATACTTGATTTACACATCATATTGATATAAATGTATTTTTGTATAAAACTTTCTAAACGAATTTCGGATTCATATTTTTTTTTAATTTCCGTAAATTGAATGTAGTGTTACAATTACGCACAATAGATTTAGTCTAAATATAAATGTAAAGTTTCAAATCCAGTCACACTGGCTGGACATCTCATCTGGAATTGATGTTATTTAATGAAGACAAGTAATTGATGTAACCGATTCTCAATTATAGTCTCAATTTTTTCCGCTAAAGGCTCCTTATTTTTCCAAAATCAGCACCCACTGTTCCGTTCCTCGTGTGTCATCCAGCGTTATCCATGTGACTTGCAATAATTGATATTCTAAATTTACGTTACTTCCATAACTTTTTTTGCGGAAGTGGTCATCTTCAAGGGAAAATCAAGTGATGCTTTGTGGTAAACTTGTAACAAATTATGCTGTCAACCATAACCTCTCTTTTCTGTTGATAATCTGTTTTATGAAGGTATTGGTCGATCCATTAAACGTCTCGGGGTATACTTTCTCAACCCCGAAACCGACACCTGACCTGAAGGCTCAAAAATTTACATAAGATATCTCAACTGAGATTTTCATAAGATATCTCAACCTCTTTTCCATATCTTCGAAACGCAACACTTGACTTTGAGGTTTGATTCCTACATTGAAGATGTTGGATCTGATTGTAACGAAAGTATCAAACCTGCAGCTTTCCCGCCCCTCTGCGTTTCGCCTTTGCTGCTTCATTTAATTCTCTTCGTCCCCACGTTTGTGCTACTGTCTACATAGTAAATGGTCCTCTGTTGATTGACCGGACAAAGAAGCCTGTAACCCGATATCTGCCTCCGTCAAACATCCATTGCACCACTCCAAAATTGACGCAAGAGAATTAGAGGGCCCGGAGAGGTTTTAATTTTGACCTCAGGATGCTGTGTGGAATTCATCAACCGTGTAGTTCACAACCTCTGGAGAGGACAATACGGAGTCATCTCGACTTCAATGATTGTAAACATCCATATATCACCGTTAAAATCTCCTGTAAACTAGCAACTCAATTCCGCTGTTAACCAAACATTTTCAAAGCTGATGATCTCACCCACACACGCAACATACGTGCGAATTACAAGCATACCCTGTTCAATGGGTTACGTATCCTCGTGATTGCTGCAATGTTTGAGCAAACGCTTGATATTTCCGGATATCTGCATCGCTAACACTACGTCGGGCAGACTTCATGGCCTCGTCAAAATGGCTAGCCTTGATTTCGGCTACTTCCTCAACCTTATCCTCTTCCATGGCCTCTGGGTTCTCAGATCGCTTCTTGTCCTTCTCAATATCCTGCAGCAGGAGTGAAAGCAGTCAAGGTATTGATTCTGCGACGTCACAAACATCCCATCCAGGCATCGAATAAAATAATAATGAAGAAAGAGAATAATACTTAGTACACCAAGTGTGTCTCCAAACAGTGGAGTGGCCTAAACCAACCTGCTCATTATTTTCTCGAATGGCGTATTTACAGGCACGCTGGCAGATTTCAGTGATATCAGCTCCACTAAAACCTTGAGTGTATCTCGCAAGAGCTTCCAGGTCCACTTCTTTTGCCAGAGGACTTTTTCTCATAGCAGCCTGGAAGATTCTCAATCTTGAGGTCGTCAGGCTGAGGAATGTAAATGGTCCAACCTTCCAGGTCTGAGGAGAGCTGGGTCAATGATATCTGGCCTATTGGTAGCACCGAGGATAAACACCGTCTTCTTTGCGTTCATACCATCCATCTCAGTAATCATTTGGTTGAAGACCCTGTCAGCACCATCCCCAGGCCTGTCTTGAAGGTGGACTTTAGTTACCTGGACTCCTACTGTTTATTCCCCATCTAAGAATGTTTGTCTCGTCATCTGTGCACAAGGATCTCCTGGTGTAGTTTATTGCCGTCAGTACACGGTGTTTGGAAGAGAACCAGTGACAAACGTGTACTACCACTGAGAATATTGTAGGTTTCAGGTTCTGAAAGTTTCGGGATATTTGTTGAGATTAAGGGAGCATGAATCCAGGTCGATCCTCTTCCTGCGAAGGTTTAACCGAACCAAAGAATCCGTGCAAGTTTATTTGTGAACTGTTGTTCCTGTATAAATCGACAATTCTTGAAAAAATAAAATAAATAAAAATGTTGGTTTCTTTTAAGTAAATAAAACAAACTTTGGTACGACTTTTCTACAAGCTAGATGGTCTAAAAACACAATCATTTAATTTTTTAATCTTTCGAGAACTCTCTGATTTCAATGAATTAGATCTTTTAATCCTGCCTGAAAACTGAAGGAATGAATTTATTTGTTATACCTCATGCAAGTAATTTTATTTGTTTATATCATTGTTGTCTGGTTAAAAATTGAAATCAATGTGGGGTACACTATAAAAATGTCGTCATAATAACTATAGATCACCGCATAATATGATGCCATAAACTTTGTAGCAATCTTGCGTATCAGTAATCCTCGGGTTTGCATCTAATTTAAGTTAAATGCGCTCCCAAGTAAACCGCTCCGACTTCGTTCCCACGAAGACCTACAGTTTACTTCTAAACCTAATAGAAGAGCCTATCCTACAACTTTTGGAAGTTGTACCTTCCAGATTCGGACCAGAGCGATCCGGATCAGAGTGATGGAACTTTCTCGTCAGATTTTTAAACAAGTGGCTGGGACCACTAAGAGCTTTATTTAAAGTGGCCGGTTTCACCACTGATCGACAATTTTTTTAGTGACCTGACTATCACTGCCTTGTATTTTTCCACATAACTGTACATCCACTAACCTCTAACCTGCCACCTGGTAGTTTGTTAGTTGCATCTGACTTCTACTCCCAGCTCCCAAGTGTTACTCCGACACATATACGGTCACATAGAGTTTGTCTAGACTACAACGACATTGCAACTAAACTGCCATAACCTACTTAATGAATCCTGAGGATTTCGTCCAGGTTTACCTTCCAGACATACTCATAGGTTTTTTGAGGGAGTAATTCTGGCCTTAGCTCAGAATTCAGACAACGATCACTCGTACTGTATAGACCACAAGGAACACCTTGTTACACGTCTCCTCCCCTCCAAGCTACTTGGGCCACGAAAAAAATCTCAGGTTCTTCTGCCTGCACCCGCCTCCAACAGCTGAAGTGATCTCGTACTATAGGTTCCAATAGATTCTTCTCGGAAATGAGCAACAAGAGTATACACCAAGTAGAAAAAAATGCAACAGTCATCCACAATGGATCTTGCCACGAGACTCGTCGTGCCTTGCATCAAGTCACCAAAGAAACAATTTTCTTTTCTGATGGAAAAACACACAAACCTCACGGAAAACAAGATACTAACCTACTAAGCGTCTTGGCTTTAAGTACTAACTCCTACATAATCTTATCCCTTGCTGAAAAATCCCAGAGATGTCGGACCTGAACCTGTGGCGACCCCAAATCCTAATACCCCAGCCTCAAACTCTATTTTTGACTTCTGGCGGAATACCTTGGTTTCGGTGGGTGAGGCAAAAACATACACTGAGGAAGCTTCTTGAGACTCTTCCTCCCTTCCGAGCAGTCCGTTTTTGGTTGTACCCATCTCCGAAGTTTCGATCACCTTCTCCAGGTTGTATGTTGTCCTTTAGCCACTTTTTGAGTTTAAAGAACTCGGTGCGACACCTAACCCCTAAACTGCATTGCACAAATCTAATTCTAGTATAAAACTACCTAGCATAGTACTTATTTATTACTTTTGTCCAATTTGTTGGTACAAAACTGGGATCATGTGGGAGCTGGTTCCCACAAACTTGATAATATCATGCCGGAGATCTATAACAGATATTTAATTATCAATTATGCAAATATTAATCTTCATATAATTGAATTGTCATTATATTAAATTATTATAGTAAATTAGAAGAAGAAGGTAACATGATTAGCATACGATTTATATTTAGATATATATATATATATATATATCTATATCTATATGTCTATTCAGATTTAATTTATCTTGATGAAGTGGATACATAATGTTTCTCAAAGATATTTAAACGTATTTTAGATAAAGACAACACTGGTGCATAGAGTTGGTGTTAATCATTGTTTGTTCAAAAGATTTTCAACAAACTCTATCGCACAAAGATTTTGAACATTAACTGGGATACGAATGTATCAAATATAGTTGATGAAAATATATAATTATTCAAAGTAGGAGGAAGAATTCTGAATATTTTGACTAGAATATCAGTTGCAAATCAAATTCGATTGTAAAATCTAAAATCATCAATCATATAATGTATGAAATGATTTAATTTTTGTTTCATGGTTTTCTCTCATTTTATAATGGTTGATTAAAAAGATTAGTTTATCAGATTAGTAAGATCAAACATTTAGTACAATTATTTAAAGCTAATTCTTAAAGCTACTGGCCATTTGATTACCTCAAATGATGAAGTTATGGGTTTAAGCGGCAATCAAAAGGGAAAATTGGTTGAAGGTAGACGTAGAGGCTACATACAAGTAAATACATGCAATATATGAACACGACTTACGAAAAGGCCACCATAAATGCCTCCAGTTACCAGATGCGAGCGGAACCAGTCAAGGTGGAAATCGATTTTCCCATTTCATAAAAAATTGATAAATCGATTTCCACTGTTGCAAATTTATATCTGAACATTGCAACGCTGGAAAGCGAATTCTTTCCACCGTTGTAGTGGTGGAAATGAGTTGAAAAATTCTATAATTAATAGCTGTAATAGTCAAAGCTTCACTAAAATTAGATTTTTTGGTGAACTATTTAAAGCAAAAGACGTGAAGACCGGCGTCGAATCTACCAATCAGTCCGTTGTCGACGAGTCCGACCTCCTTCCCCTCCTCTTCCCTGCCGCATCGTCGAGCAGTACGATGAATTTACACTCTCGAGGTGTTCAAATTGCATCCAATCTAAAAAATTGTGAGTCTCGTAGCAATCTTCGAAGTGTTGAGATGAGGTCCAGTTCCAGGAAAAAAATATAGTGAACTGGTTTTTGCATCTCCTTCTCCAGATCCAGCTACTAACAAAGAGCAAAGTTGGGGGGAGCTTCTGATGCACGAGGCGTCGTCGGACGAATGGCGGCGCAGGTTTCCGAAGAGAGCAATGATCGCACCTCGGCTTCGGCGGATGGAGAAGAGAAATGGACGCACAGGACCCGAATCGACGAGGAGCTGAAGCGGGTCGCGGAGAAGATGCCGTCGAAGGAGGAAGCGGAAGAAAGGGCCTTGCCGACGATCTTGCGAGCATCAGCAGCGTTTCGGGAGCACGGAGAGTTCGGCTACGAGTTCAGGTACGATCCCGTGTACATGCGCCTGGGGCTCTACAGCAGGGGCGCATTGCTTGCGCCCACCGCAGCCGAGACTCGCCGAATGGAGGCCGCCATTGCCTTCGTGAAGAAACTGAACGAGCGCACAGACGAGCTCGGACTGAGCCCGATCGACTGGCACGAGATGTGCGCCAGAGTCGTCCCGAGTCCTGCCCGAGTGCGTTGGCTGTGGAGTGACGCCCCGTCCGACATGACGGACGACGACGTGCGCCACTTGCTGGCGATCGACGCCGTGTACATGCTCTGCTTTTTCCGGACTATGGGGGATAAGTTTCCGGAGGTCCAGGCCCTGGATCCGTACGAGTCGGACTTCTGGACGCAGCAAGGTACCATGCAGGACATTCTGCTGATGGAGAACCAGATTCCTCTCGAGCTGATACAGAACGCGCTCGCTCTGGCCCTGGAGCGCGATCGGGTTGTAAACCCGAGCCCTGAGAGGGTGGCAGAAAATGTAAACCCGAGCCCTGAAAAAAATATGCATAAGCTTCTGTTACCGGTATTAGAAAAAGTTCTGCGCTATACTGGGCTGAAGCAGTTCTCTGACAACTTCGTGCCAGAAGATAGCGATAGCGAGATAGCGAGCGTTGACCACTGGTTGGATTTTGTGTACAGAGTGGTGGTTAAAAAATCAAGAACACCAGGCGTGGGTGGTGATGACTTACCTGCGCCACCTGTCGCAGGATTGTCAAGAAGGTCGCAGGATTGTCAAGAAGAAGAATATCGCGGGCTCAATGTTAACTTCATTCCGACAGCCTCGAAGCTGAGAAAGGCTGGCATTGCAGTCAAAGGCTTAAATCGAAAGCATGCGACGATTTATGACTACAAAATGGAGCAGGGTCTATTCACGGACACTTTGTGGATCCCGAAGCTCGAAATCTGGGACGACACTGCGAACTCGCTGAGGAATTTGCTCCTGATGGAAATGAGGTCCCAATGTGAGGAGCAGCCGCTGATGGAGTATTTGGCTATCTTAAAGCAGCTGGTGGACACGAGGGAAGACGTTGTGATTTTGTGTGACAACACAGACGACTATGTGATCCTCAACAAGGTGGGCGATGCTGGCATTGTGGAAAAATTGATCGACGTTTAGGTCGTAAAATTAATCCTATACATTGACCGACGCTGTTCGTTTAAAAAACACTCTCCTACATTTGCCAAGTTCTGCAACGAAGTGCGGCAGTGTTATAAACGGGGGAGGGAGCGATGGTTGTGGCAGTTTTTGGAGACATATTTGAACAAGCCCTGGAAAATAGCTTCACTCATCGCCGCCATATCGCTGCTCGTGCTAACAGCCCTCCAGACAATATATTCCATGCTCTCCTTCTACGACTGACTCCATTCCTCAAAGCTGCTGCGCACTGAAGTCCGTCAGCTGTACATAATCTGCGAATTTCTACCATAGCTCCTGACCTAGGCCCTTAAAAATATCACAATCTTTTTCATTTTCTTTGTTAAATAAGATTATCATAAACTTTGAATTGTACGGAAGAAATCAAATTATTTAATTTTTTGAAAAAAATATGTATGAAATTATGAAAATGAAATGAAATGTGAAATTTCATTTAATTTTTTCAACATTGAATAAATATGAATGCTTACTTTTCTTTCCTGCTTTATTTTCAACTTATTCAGTTTGAATTTTATTTTTTTAAATCAATTAAATCTTGTTAATTTTTTTGCTTCATTAAAATTTATAATCTCATATGTTTGTTATGCTTGTATTTTGTCAGAAAATTGAAAAAAAATTTGAGTTAGTTTATATTTGTATATATATAGACATTCTTCTATCATATAATTTTTCATTATAATATCTCTGATGCAAGTTGATGATTAGATGTTTTGAAACTTCCAATGCAATTCTAATTTCCATTCATTATGTTTCTTTTTAACTTTTTTCTCATTGTTTGCACCTATTATCAATCATGTGTCAAATATTTGTCATGAAAAGCAATATAGTGAAAAACTACAATTTGATGCAATAATTAATATTCAAATTGAATTGCCTTCACACAATGACCTGTTGGTAGCTTACCTATTAGCAATAAAGACTCATTTCATTTTATATCTAAATTTGGAGTGATATATGTTTCTAAAATACATTCTAAATTTTGGTTCAAAAAATCATTATTATATATGAATTTTCTAACTATATTCATGACATATGCAAGTATAATATTGTGTTTTGAAATATATCTATGTAACTTGGATGTAAGTACGTAAATGTTTTTGTTACATTCTTAATTACAATAATTAAGGAAAAAAATGTCCATGTTTGAGCAATATTGAGAGTCCAAGTGTGATATATTTTAGATTATTTCAATTTTTACTGCATAGATCATAGAATATAAACTCAAAGATGATGAAAATATTTGTTAATTAGTGATATTACATAAGTTCAATATTTTGCAAACCCAACCAGTAATGGTAGTCAACAACTTTTGTGATGTAATCAATGCAAAACAACGTCTCATATGTTCAATACAGTAATCTAAAGTAACCATTATTTGAAATGTGCAAGATGTTTTTGATATCAAATATATAAAAATTTTTGATGTTTAATATATGACTATAATCAAAATTTAAAAAAAACTATTGCAAATATAATTGTCATATATCTTATCATGATGAAAATTTTTAACACATTGATTTAAATAAATCAAACCAAAATACTTGATGTTTACAAATCATAATGATATAAATGTATTTTTGTGTAAAAATTTCTGAACAAATTTCAAATTCATATATTTTTTTAATATCCGTAAACTGAATGTAGTGTACACACACAATAAATTTAATCTAAATATAAATGTAAAGTTTCAAATAATGATAGATCTGATTTGATTTCATTGAATTGAAGGTTTATAAGTCATAGAATATTCTTAAATCTTTAAAAATTTGCATCAATAACTTCAATTCTGGTTCTTTATACGGTTTTGATGAGTTTTCAAATATTTTTTTGTTAAAATATGAAGTAAAACTCAAATTATTATTTTTTAAATAATAAAAATGTAAGTATTATTTTTTAATAATATTCAAATTATAGAATTGTATCCATCAAAATTTTTCTTCACAAAAAATCCAAAGTTCTGAATTTTCATTTAGACTATTGTATCATGACATATTAAAACTGAAATGAAACAATATTTTGTGATTAAATTATTTTTATTCATCAACAACCAGTTCAAAAATGAAATAAATAAGTAATTATAACAGATCAGATTCAATACAGTAATCAGATTTGTAAACACTCAATGTTTTCTTTTTAGTGTCATGTTGATAAAATAATGTTATTTTTTTATTGTGTCATTACAAAGTCTTACGTTGAAATCATCCATATTATTTATTTTTATTGATCATCTATTTATTATTACTTGATAAATTATGTTAATTTATATAAAATATAACTTTATTGTTTTAAAAAAATTATTTGTTATATCAAAATTAAAAATTTTGTATCAGTAAAACTTTGAGTTATTTGTGACAAATATTATTTTATTAAAAATACGTGATGTGACATTTTGCTTAATAGACATATTAGATTTTTTTTAACAAATCAAATCAAAATTGTAAATGTCTTAAAGGAGAAGTGCGCGGAATGCAGGTTCAGATCTTGGGATGGTTATGAGATGTTAAAGTTTGGTTTTGGTAGTTGCATGATTACATTATGAAGTTAATCAATACAATGATGTTGATTCAAAATCAACAAACAAGTTTTATTAACAAAAGCTTGCCACGAGACCATGCACATTTGGTCTAAGGCTTGCACTCGTTTCTTATGTATAACCTAAGATTATGCTTCATGCCTGTCTTATTTTCAGCAAAGTATTTTAAATTATTTGATTCTAACAAATCAAGATTCAGCGATGTCAAGTCACACTGGCTGGACATCTCATCTGGAATTGATGTAATTTAATGAAGACAAGTAATTGATGTAACCGATTCTCAATTATAGTCTCAATTTTTTCCGCGAAAGGCTCCTTATTTTCCCAAAATCAGCACCCACTGTTCCGTTCCTCGTGTGTCATCCAGCGTTATCCATGTGACTTGCAATAATTGACATTCTAAATTTACGTTACTTCCATAACTTTTTTTGGGGAAGTGGTCATCTTCAAGGGAAAATCAAGCGATGCTTTGTAGTAAACTTGTGACAAATCATGCCGTCAACCATAACCTCTCTTTTCTGTTGATAATCAGTTTTATGAAGGTATTGGTCGATCCATTGAACTTCTCGAGGTATACTTTCTCAACCCCGAAACCGACACCTGACCTGAAGGCTCTAAAATTTACAGATACTGAGATTTTCATAAGATATCTCAACCTCTTTTCCATATCTTCGAAACGCAACAGTTGACTTTGAGGTTGATTCCTACATTGAAGATGTTGGATCTGATTGTAACGAAAGTATCAAACCTGCAGCTTTCCCGCCCCTCTGCGATTCGCCTTCGCTGCTTCCTTTAATTCTCTTCGTCCCAACGTTTGTGTTACTGTCTTCATAGTAAATGGTCATCTGTTGATTGACCGGACAAAGAGACCTGTAACCCGATATCTGCCTTCGTCAAACATCCAGTGCACCACTCCAAAATTGACGCGAGAGAATTAGAGCGCCCGAAGAGGTTTTAATTTTGACCTCAGGATGCTGTGTAGAATTCATCAACCGTGTAGTTCACATCTTCTGGAGAGGACAACACGGAGTCATCTCGACTTGAATGATTGTAAACATCCATATATCACCGCTAAAAATCTCCTGTAGACTAGCAACTCATTTCAGGTGCTGACCAAATATTTTTAAAAGCTGATGATCTCACCCACACACGCAACATACGTGCGAATTACAAGCATACCCTGTTCAATGGGTTACAACCATTCACAAAAGCTAGACGATCGGAGACGGTAATGTGGATGACAAGCCAGAAATTTTAATTAACCAGTTGTGTCAACTCTCCTCGCCTGTATTCGAGATTGAATCTGATCGAAAAGTACAAAGGATGTGCTCCCCAGAGTCGAGGGTTGCATATAAAGTGCGAATGAACATTAATTTACACACTACCGTTGACGGTCTTGCCATACATACTGGTCATGTCGCGAAGAGACGATCGAAGACCAGACGAGCAATGAATGGAGTTTAGTTATAAAAATCATCAGCAGCAGCAGCCGCAAACGCTGGTTCTGCAACAGGAGCACCTGCAGTTTGAGCAGGTCGATCTGGGAACCGGAACTCCGAACCAAATCCTCGTGATTGCTGCAATGTTTGAGCAAACGCTTGATATTTCCGGATATCTGCATCGCTAACACTACGTCGGGCAAACTTCATGGCCTCCTCAAAATGGCTAGCCTTGATTTCGGCTACTTCCTCAACCTCATCCTCTTCCATGGCCTCTGGGTTCTCAGCTCGCTTCTTGTCCTTCTCAATATCCTGCAGCAGTAGTGAAAGCAGTTAAGGTATTGATTATGCGACGTCACAAACATCCCATCCATACATAACCACTGACTGACCAGCGTGTCCCTGTGCCTTGTGTAGAGACAGGAAATGTTAAAACCAATACGAGAGATGTTTAAGTGCAGGTGAGCAATATTCTAACGTTCACTGTTAGGCAGGCCACTGGTTATCTATATCATATATTTTATTATCAGTTATGAACATATTAAATTATTTATTATATTAATATTATTATGGTTAAAATGAAGAAAAAAGTTTACATAATTAGCATAAGATTTTGTTCAAAATTTAAATATATATACATATATGTATCTATTCAGATTTAATATATCTTCATGAATTGGATACAATATGTTTCTTGAGGAGTTTAAGAAGATTTCCAAATTCATTTAAACGTATTTTAGATAAAGAAAACCACAGAGTTGAACTTAATCATTGTGCGTTCAAAAGATTTTCAACAAACTTTGTTGCGCAAAGATCTTGAAGTAGGATATGAATGAATCAAATATAGTTGATGAAATATTTACTTATTTAAAGTAGGAGGAAAATTTCTGAAAATTTTGACTAATATCAATTGCAAATCAAATACGATTGTAAATAAATCAATCGTTTAATTCATGTAATGATTTAATTTTCGTTTGATGGTTTTTTCTCATTTAAAATGGTTGATTAAAAAATTAATTTATCAGATTAGTAAGATCAAACATTTAGTACAATTACTTAGAGCTAAATCTTAAAGCTACTGGCGATTTGATTATCTCAGATGATAAATTAAAGGTTTGACCCGCAATCAAAAGGAAAAATTGGTTGAAGGTAGACGTAGAGGCTACATACAAGTAAATACTTGCAATATATGAACACGATTTACGAAATGGCCACTATAAATGCCTCCAGTTACCAGATGCGAGCGGAACCAGTCAAGGTGGAAATCGATTTTACCATTTCAAAAAAAATTGATAAATCGATTTCCGCTGTTCCAAATTAATATCTGAACATTGCAACGCTGGAAAGCGAATTCTTTCCACCGTTGTACTGGTGGAAAGGAGTTGAAAAATTCTATCATTAGTATCTGGAATAGTCAAAGCTTCACTGAAATTATATTTTTTTGTGAACTATTTAAAGCAGAAGTGA